ACCTGGCTTTTCCGGCAGGCCTGGGGCTGTTGACCTCTTGAACGAGGTCCAGCCCCACTATGGTCGAGTGTGTGTTGTGTTTTAACCTGCTTTGTCTTTTACCTTTTAAACTTTTTAGTACTTTTTAAATTATCTTTTATGTAAGCCGCCCGGAGTCCTTCAAGATTGGGCGGCATATAAATTTATTAAACTTAAACTTAAGAGTCCATTTTATTGTATGAGCAAATTACTTTTAATAGCCCCCAACTGAGTCCATGTACCAGGGTTTCAATGGGAGACACAACCATATAATTGAAGTTCTATTCCCTGTTCAACAGGGATTGATTGCATGTGCATAGCATAGCATAGCATAAAGAACAGGCTTCAATCATATATCTTGATTTTTGCCTTGCTTCACAACCTCTTTTAAGCTTATCTAAGCCAGGGACCATTTCTACAGATTGGAATAATAAATTCTCCATGTAAGTTACTTAAAATGAAAAATTACTTAATTTAAACTACCCAGAATTTGGGGAGAAGGCAAAACTCGCTTTTAAAATGGTGCCATATATAAGAGGACATAAGGTTATTTAGAAGCAAATTGTTTAGTTGCCTTTCCTGCCAAACGTTTAGTCTGTAACCAGATAACACGGCAAAAAATTATTTCCTACTCGCACTCTTCTTTTAATATACAGGAAAATGGGAAATACAGAATGAAATACGCCTTGTTGCAAACATTTTTCACCCTCTCGTTTATTTGTTTGTTACATATGGGCTGGGAAGGCTCCTGTGGGGCTTCCTCTGAAAATAAATTATTAGTTGTCACTAGGAAAAAGGAAAATTGAATGGAGGTGGAGAGAAGCAGATTTCGGTGAATATCACATTCCCCATATTATATAATGTTAGATTACAAACAAATTAGACTCATAAAATAATTCAGAATAATAACTGGCATAACCCAGCTCTATACAGATACCAGCATACCATGAGGCTGTTCTTGCCACATTAATAACACTAGCATCTAGAGAGTGCCTTCAAAAGTATAAATTAGTATTGACAATATATCAAACCAACAAAGATGCTCTTTTATTTTAGATGTTTTTAAAGGTAATGGAAAAGCAAGCACTGGAAGTATTTCTCCATTTGATGTGTTTTCTGTGGAAGATAGGAATTGATTATTTTTATCTGTCACCAAACATTACACTAAACTACAACCATTAAAGTTATGGAACAATAAGATGAAAGAAAACAGTAATAGAAATATTTTACTGCCAGTGCAAATCAATAGCCCGAAGACTTTCCCACTGGGTTAAATCCACATGCAAGTTAAGAGTATAATAAATCTTCAGCTTTGATGTCCATCTCCAAAATGTAAGAATAAATAGGAGATTCAGCATGTGATTTAGGTTGTAATCTTACATAGTTTCTTAGAAATAGAGTTTAAATTAGATTTTCTTTTGAGTAAAAATGTACAACTGTACTAGAGTTGCATCATCTTACTCATTCCATTTTGCTTTGTTCTTTTAATACCTACTTTGGGGGGGGGGATTTCATTTCTGTTTGCTCTTAAAAATCCAGTTTATAACTCAACTCTATCCTCTATTCTGATCTCTTTCTGTTTATAAGTGCAATAATAAAAGGATTGCTACAGTGGCAATATATACGTCACTCCTATTCTCAGTTACCTAGAAGTAAATCTCACTGAATTCAGGGGGATTTATTTCCAAGAGATCAGAGTATGATTGCACTGTACCCTTTATTATCTTCAGAGAGATCCAGGAAGTCTAGCTGACAGGTAGAGAATCAATAAAAAAGAATTTTCAACACGTTGAGACTAAAATAACCTCGGGAAAGTAATGATATAGCAGAACTGGCACAAATTCTATATTATGTTGACGCAGAAGCATATATTAAATCAGGGCTGATTTAACACAGATGTGCCACTCCTCAGATGTGTTAAACTCCTATCAAGCCATCAGCACAGATATTGTAACCTTTATGAGTTGTAGGCTAGCATGTCTGCAGGGCATCAGCCCAGTCAGGTCTGCCCAAAATAATGATGGCATATATTTAAGCACAGATCCTAAACTTTTGTTCCTCTTCTCTTCCTTTGTAGTTATGAGAGACATGGGGGCGGGAGAACCTTTTCTGATTGTATACCGTACTCTCAGGCACTGTAATATCTTTAAATTATTGCAGAAATAAAGGTATTCTCGAATAAATATAGTAAGTTCTGCCAGCGGGCCTGGGGGAACCCTGAGCAGGATGGAGGTGGCGCAGTGGTTAGGGTGCAGTACTGCAGGCCACTTCAGCTGACTGCGATCTGCAGTTCAGCGGTTCTAATCTCACTGGCTCAAGGTCGACTCAGCCTTCCATCCTTCCGAGGTG